GGAGGACTCAGATCAGAATCAGATCCTCCCCGCCTCCTTGATAATTTTCCGTCAGTATTATGTGATTTTCTTGGAGGACTCAGATCAGAATCAGACCCTCCCCGCCTCCTTGATAATTTTCCGTCAGGATTATGTGATTTTCTTGGAGGACTCAGGTCTGAATCTGATCTTCGATTTCTCCTGTCCGATTTTGACTCCTCTCTCCTAGATTTTCTTGGTGAACTCATGGCTGAGTCTTCGTTTTTATGAGATTTAAACTCTCTTGGGATCCTCGAGGGCTTCCTAGGGGGACTGAGGTCCTCATTGGAGTCTCGCCTTCTGGATCTCGAAGGACTCCGATCAAAGTCACTATTTCTTTTGCTTGAATGACTCTGGGGTCTTCTCGGGGGATCTAAATCAAAATCCGACGTTTTTCTTCGGGAGTCTCTAGAACTCTCCTGAGGCCTTCGCGGGGGGCTCATATCACTGTCGGATTGATCTCGATACTTCTTGGGCCCTACAGCACCAGAATCCTTCTGTTTTCGTGACCTTGGAGGGCTCAAGTCATTAGAATCTCTTTGTTTCTGTGTCCTGGGAAGACTAAGGTCAGAATCTTCATCAGCAGATTTTTTTCCACGATTCTTAGTACATCTTTTCGACTTCGATTTTCGTTTTCTATTGAACTCCGATCCGGGAGAATCTGAGGATGAGCTAGAACTCGATGAGCTCGATTCACTGCTCGAACTCTTTTTACGTTTTCTAGATTTCTTTTTCGAGTGGGCCTTCCTGGGTGGGGAGAAATCATCGTCAGAATGTTCTCTGGATTTTCTGGGTGGAGTTTGATTAGAATTACCATTTCTACTCTCCCGGCTATCAATTTTGGAAGATTTTTGAATAGATTTTGGAAAATCGTCATTGGATATCGATTCGTTATCAACGTCTCGAGAACGTGATTGACTGCAGCTGACAGCTACATTTCCATCTCCATCGTCAGCTATTATTTTCCACCTCCTTTTATCCGCAAAATCCACTGGACCACGTTCGTCGACGATTCCCACAATCTGAGGGGCATCCTCTGTTGCATTTAATATTTCGAATTCTCCCTCGTCGACCGGACGTAGGTGATTCAGATCTATGTCATCGTCGATTATTTTAACACTACAAAAATATTAATCTCTGATTATTCAACTGATTTGAATCGCAGCTAAATGTTGACGAAACTATAAATATAACCTAAAAAAATCTGGTAATTGGTAGCAATCAATAATTTACTCACTTGGTGGAGACTGCTTTAATTTTCTTTTTTTTCTTCTTCTTCTCGTCGTTTGAGGAACGGAGATATTTTTTTAGGTACGCTTTCTGGTCAACAACCTTTGTCATTTTACTGTTTACGAATTGAAAACGTTTGGAGCAGACGCAGCAGACACAACAGTCAGATGAGCGAGATGTCAACCAGAGAGTTCTGTCGATAAAACAGATTTGTCATTTTAAATAATCGAGTTCAATAGTTTCACCTGGAAATCGTTAACTATATTGATGATGACTCTTATACATTACTAATGAATTGCAGCTAGTAATTATTAACTTCTCATAACTAACCACTGAGCCTTGATTGACCATAATTAGTAATTGTGGGGAATTTTATACTGGATTGACCATACAACTCAATCGAAATGCTTGAAATGGAAAGGAGAACAGGTGAGATTCAATCTTGATGTGTAATTATATCTGGGAGGAATATAAGACACCAACACTTGCGGTAAAATATTCATATGGTTTAGAAAATAAAATAATAATAAAATAATAAAAATAAAAATAATATATAAATAATAAATAATATAATAGATATAAATAATAAAAAATAATAATAATAAAAATAAAATAATAATAAAATAATAAAAATAATAATAAAAATAATAGAAAGTAGAATGACAGTGAACCGTTTTTTCAACCATTTTCAATAAATGACACATACTTTCATGATTTTATATTTATTTTATGAAAACCTTAAACTGGTCCTATAGAAAGGCCTACACCAGGCTCGTAGGACGCAAGAAAATGCAAAAAAACATTTTTGTTTTTGTTATTATCATCTACGGGTCAATGATATGTGATATTTGATACTTCAATCATTAGTTGATAGAAAAATTGAATTTCAAATATTTAAACTCTCGAACTATTGGACTTGCACATAATATCCATTCAAATTGCCTCCATACATAATCATCAGTATGACCCCAGATTGCCCCTTCCAGAGTCAATGATCATTCCATTGCACCACAGAGGAAAAAAAATCTGCATTGAATTTACTACCACACATCTTCATTCTGATGTAATTACCGCCACCATAAAAGGAATGTTGAAACTAGCTCAGGTGAGATTGCTAGCTAAATTCCACGGGAAAAATTACCTAAATTCCAGACTGAGCCCAGAACTCATCACTCCCAAGCGAACTCCTGAAGTCACTGATGCCTTCAGACGCAAGTGCCGAAAAATGCATATGAAGAGAAACGAGGAATGCAGTGGAATCGTAGCGCTAAGGAATTCCGTTGAAACGCATGGTACCACGAGAGTTAAATTTCCCCTACCTCATGTAATAGGTAAAAAGCGATGCGATTGGAGAACGTGGAGTCAAGGTGGTAGGGGAGCGAAAGTGAAGCTGCCACCAAGAATGGGCAGGACGAGACACACCAAGGCCTCCAGTACTTCTCAACGTTTCACACGCACGAAGTACGTTTTACCGAGCATTTGATAAATGTACTGGTACTGGCCATGTTCTCTCATCATCTCCGGTGGTGAAATAAAAATTGCCAGGATTTTTACATCCCGCGGATAGATGGGCACGCACATCCGGGATTATCCAGCGGTTCTAGGGGAATGGAATATGTGTATGATCGTGCTGTGAGGAGCGTACGTGGAACTGATACTATAACGAGTGGGATTATTTGATTGACATTTCTATTGAGCAATCGGTGCTCCCAGACCCACTGATCAACCTAATTATGGTTTACCATTGTGAGCCGGTAATTACTCATAAATAATCGGTATTTTATAAAGAATTTACTGGTATTTCTCGGTGCAATAATGCTGGAGATAAGTATCCGTTCTGGCATTCAATATTCTTAGTGAAGTAATCGTGACGTAAGTGTCGTGACGGGTTTCAAGTTGTTTCAAACGTAAACGAAGTTGTGATTCAAAATGACGAGAAAGTTGAGTAAATTTCTTATTCTGTTTGATAATACGAATCTGCTGTACTTCCCTGGGCATTTCCTCTCGGGGAGAGTCCTCATTGAGCTCGACGATGAAGCTTAGTAAGTTTAATTCCATTTTATGTATAATATATTATGGGGAATTCAAGTGTTTGTTAGCTTTTGATTTTTGATACTATGGAAAGCTCTCTGAGAGACGCAGCTGAATGAATTATTCGACACTGAAGTGAGAGTGTCAACGCACGTGCCACGAATAATTGCATTTTTTCAAGTCAAATGTACACACACCTGTCTCCCCATGATTGGAAAAAAACAGGCGAATATAAATTTCAAATAATGAAATGCTGCGTTGGAAAAATTAATGGGGCTTGATAATTAATGGAGTCTCATTTTCACATGGTGCACTCAGTGCTAATAAAATTATCATAATTCAGCAATTAAGTGTCTCATCAGGGGCATCAAGACAGGTGAATTTTCCTTTGAAAGTTGCGACCTGATTTCGAAATTGTTAAATAGCGATGGCGGTTGGAGTGTTGTTGGAGTAATTTTTGGAATTTTTTTTCCAGCGTATCGGGCCTGCACTTCCATGTTATCGGCGAGGGGGTGGTACGGCTGAGGAGTCAACGGGCTGAACGAGTCTACGACAAGGAAAATTACATAGACTTTCGTATGCGATTGCTGGGAGAGCCAGGTACACATCATGCGAATATTGAAATAATGGGGATCATAAGGCATTATTTTGCCGCATATTTCTTTTGCGCTAACGATTCACAGAGAAAAAATTTGAAAAATCATTTTATCCTAAAAAAAATTACTCTCCGGGAGTTGAAATTGCACTCTCGAATATTAATTTTTCCGGGAAAATTCTAATATTTACTTGACCCATGGTGTCTTTTAGGGCCTTGGTTATAAATTCGACAATAAATTTTTATCTGGTAATGTTTCCAGGCGAGGGACCGTCACTCCTGTCCCCAGGCATCCACAGCTTTCCCTTCAAACTGGGCTTACCACTTGGTCTACCATCAACATTTCTTGGTAAACATGGGTGGGTGCAGTATTATTGCAAGGCTGCACTCCGCGAACCCGGAGGGCTGACCCACAAAAATCAACAGGTCTTCATCGTCATGAATCCCATCGATCTGAATCTAGAACCGCCTATTCTAGCTGTATGCTTTCTTCTCGATTATGACTGTTGCCACATCGGAGGATTGTATGAGTTATAATTTTTATACGATGATTTTTGATGCAGCAACCGGCGAGGCTGGAGGTGGAACAACGAGTGGGTGTATCTTGTGTCTCCGGAGGCCCCGTCTTCTGCAGAGTCAGCCTTGATCGAGGTGGATATGTCCCTGGGGAGACTATTGGTATTTCAGCGACAGTGAGCAATCGCAGTAAAGTTAGCATTTTAATGGATTTATGGAAATTTTGTAGTTAAACGACAATCTGCAATTTTATTATTGACATTTCTTTTGATTGCCACTTTGCTCAGGTAACGATGAAATCGACGAAAGCATCGCTGACAGAAACTATTCAGTACATGTGCCGAGGAAAAGTTCTGGCAAGTGAAACCAGAGAGCTGGCAAGTGTATCACGAGGGAAAATACGCCCTGGAGAAGGAGAAGAGTGGTTGAATGAGCAGATGTATGTCCCTCCTCTGCCCCCTACCAATTTACGAGGATGTCATTTGATCAATGTCCTCTATCATGTTTACGTGCGTATAAAAATGTTCAATCATTCTATGAGAATCTAATGCTCTACCCGCCGCGTGACGTAATGAGAAATTCTATTTGCAGTTCGTCATAAGTCCCAAGAGCTTGGATAAAGAGATTAAACTGCAGATACCAATTGTTTTGGCGACGTATCCTTTAAGGCAGGAGGGCGCACCTGCAGGGGCCGCACCCTCCAAGAGGGGTGCACATTATCCCTCGACATTACCAATATTCAGACCCTGGCTCGATGACAAAGCGTTCGAGGTTCAAGAGTAGAATTTTTCATTGTACAGTCTCACTTTTATATACTGTGTAAATGAAGAACCGTTATTTATTCATTCTCCGCTGCCTGATGGTGACATCAGTAACCAGGAGGTAGAAAGTAACAAGTTGATTTAACAATTCAATTCATCAGAGAAATAGTGAGATTCTTCTAAAAAACTTCGCCATCTCTTTTAGATTCGATATTTGTCGAAGATTCGAATGGGTACTCACCAATTGTTACTCTTGACCTGTTTACTACTGAAATGTAAATGTTTTAATTGATGTTGACAACAAAGGCATTAATGACACTATGTTTTGTACAGTAATATAGAAATTATTGAGATTTATTGACTTATACAGCTAATTATCGAATAAAAAATGTTTCTTATTACTAAAAATCGTTTAGGTATTGGATCTAATTTCCTGTTTCAGCTTGTCCAAGACTGCTGTGGCTGTCGAACCGGTTACAATGACCTTTTTTTGGCGACTTCTCGATCCCTACATTGATAATCATTTTTTTAACAACTGCTGCATCAGTTTCGAACATTAGGAACTTACTCGGTCTAAAGTGACATCTGACTTTCTCAAGCCCAGGACTGTCGATAGATATTTTACTAGCTCTGTGTTTGCTTCACCCTCGACGGGAGGGGCTGATATTGCAACTCCCACACCTTCTTCCGAGATATCTGTTAAATTATTTAAAATTGAGGGAGAAAAGCCTTTTAATTAACTCTGAAATATTTTATTTCATATCTAAATTGACATAATGTGACACCTTTTATGCTGTTGTGCTTAGCTCCAGGTTTTGCATGAATTTTGATAACCACATTGCCATCTTTATCAGTGGTAACCGGTCCAGACGGTGAGATCTGTAACGAATTTGTCTAATAGCGCATCATACATCCTTGAAACTTTTATCTCAATATTCGCGTTTGATTGTTTGGAAATGGCGAATTGATCCATGGTTAACTTAATGAAAAACTGACCCCTAGTATTAATATAAAATTTTTCTAATGAATTCTCCAGAATTTTTATCAACATCTATGCATTCTATGAGAGAAATTCCATCTAATTATTTATGACATGGAGATGCGCAAATGCGAATGTTTCCACTGATATGAACTAGTGATTTAATTCCGCGGGGTTCTAGTGATGTTCTAGTAACATTCGAAAAATATCGAGTAGCGAAGAAAGTGCGGACTGTATCTAAGACAAGTGCATGTATTCCAGAACATGTCACTCTTTTTCAAGAACAGATGATCAGAGCTAAATAGCCGATATTTCTGGCTAGCGGAGAATTTGATTGGTAAGTACATTTTGAGAAATAATTACTCACCGTGTCATTGTCAGCTGGGAGTCCCTTCGTTCCTTTCCTCAATGACTTTTTCGACATTTCCCTCAGACTTATTCTACCCCCAGTGATGACACCGTTTATTGATGAACTCAACACCACATTCATGAATTTTCACTGTTTATTTGATATTACTATCATTTTTCGGACAAGTATAATTATCCACTCAGCGTCATAACCTCAGTAGAATAATAATCTGTCGGTAAGATCGATGCACTATGACTTCAGGGCTGCCAATGGAATGAAGCTTCTCCGCACTAAATTTAAATATTTATCAATTCAGCCAAATTTTTAATGCATTAGATTTTCAGACAGGCATATCGAGGAAATTATTCTGGTATACGAAAGAAAATCTACCCGGTAGAAATAATTATTCAAACAAGCAACCAATGATTTTTTATATTTTTCAGGATGCAAAAAAAAACACAAGAATTACGTCTTCTGTATTTACAAAAAAAAACAGAGGCACAATGTAAACGAGAAAAATAATGCCCATTCAAATTAATTACAGATAAAAATGCCGAAGAAATTTGTAGGTGAGAATAGTAAAGCCGTAGCGGCTAGAGCTCGCAAAGCAGCTGCGAAAGAGGCAGAGCATTCTCGAAAAGCTCAGGAAGCCGAGGATAAAGCTTGGGAGGATGATGACAAGCAAATTCAAAAAAAGAAACAAAAACAGGTAAATCATACAAATTGATTACCAACATTTAAAACCCCGTAATTCTATTCTTCAACTTTCATTGACCTTACGATTCCTCCGATTAATCGATAAACCTCTGCAGGAGGAGTTAGAAAAAAAACGACTGCAACAATTAGAGAAGAAAGCAGAGGCCAAGGCCCTCCTCGAGCAAGAATTGGCGACAATCAAAATTGGTGGCAAACAGCCCGCCTCAAAAATAACAAGAGCAGAGATAATGTCAGCCACCGAGAAACGTAATCAGGTTGCAATGAAAAAGAAGGAGGAGGAAAAACCGATAGAGGAGAATCTCAACAGAATTGTCCTAGAAGGAGAAACGGCCCACGGAATTGACGAGGCCCTTTCGATCTTAAGGTACAATTTCTAAACAATTTCCCCATGGTTTACCTTCAATCATTTCACCCAAAAATTCTCGTAAACAATTTAATTCCAGCGTCAAAGATCCAGAGGTGGATCGTCACCCTGAGAAACGGGTGAAAGCTGCTTACCTCAGTTTCGAGGAGCGCATGATGCCACTCATAAAAGAGCAGAATCCCACCCTGAGACTCAGTCAGCTCAAGCAAATTCTGAAGAAGGAATGGATGAAATCACCCGAAAATCCCCTCAACCAGAGGCTCATGAATAACTGAAATGAAACGAACCTTCCAATAAATCGTAAAACAGACATATGTGGCTTTTGAAATAATTCAATGAACAATAAGGGAATAACTAATAATTTATAACTGAAATGGATGTCATAGGATACATGGAACAAATAACATTCATAAATCATCTTTGGTACATAATTCAACATGCACAAAATATACAAAATAAAATACTCAACAAGAGCAATCTGCAGACTGCAGTTCATAATCAACTTCTCATGTTCATTTTTAAATTTAACGGGAAGAAAATTTTTTTTTAATACGTCCAGGGTTTCCCTTCTATACTGATAATACGAATCTCATTAATCACATTCGAAACATTGCGCCCGATTAAAAAAACCCACACTTGTTTTCATATTTCTTTCTATAAACACACAATTCAAGCGTCATTCAATTTTCCACAAATAGAAAGCCAAGTCAATGACATCTATCTAATCTCAATTCTATATAATCACCACTTTCTTTTCGTCCACAAATCTATGAAGCAGTGGATCATGTGGTTGACTTGCTCGGGTGTTTCAATCATTGGGAGATGTCCGGCAGTTGGTAGTGCTTCGAGGAAAGCCTTCATGACAGTCTGAAAGCGAAAAACAATGGGATTAAATTACCATCAAATTGACCAATTGTCTGTAGCAACTGAAGTGCAGTTTGGGATATTTAAAGAGTACGAGATGGTAAACAAATAATTGACATGGAACATACCCTCTCCATTTGGCATTCTTGCACGAGTGACACCTTATTGTCCCTGAGACCATGTATAAGCAACGTAGGTGTACATATCCTTCTATGGAAGACATAATCACCTTCCGGCCAAATCATACCATTCAGAATATATCTCATGTGCGAGGGCCACTGCTCCTCAGTTTCGTTGCCACAATATGGATGCTGTCTACCCCTCGGTGAGTACAAAATATCACGATGAGCACCGCACATAAGTAATGGTGAGAGCATTGCCCTTAGACACAAGTGGCCAGTCCCTTCTCTACTGGGCGGTGCCAGTGGCGTTGGCCCACCACCAGATATCAAAACCAATTGATGAATTTCCTTCTCATACTTAGCTGCCAACGCCGTTGCAAAACTACACCTTAATATTTGAAGAAAAATAGAAAAATTAGATTGCACAAAATTGATGTAATCGGTAGCTTTCACTACCCACTCGTCAGTGTTGTAACAGTGTTGAGGATAATTTAAACAAGAAATTAATTCGCCCTTATTGTCTGCGAGATGTCATCAGAGCGTAGGCTTTGAGTGTTGGATTATGTGCTAACAGTCATTTTTAGGTCTCGTAATAACGGTTGGAGTAGTTTACGTTTTCTACGTCCTGATATGGGCTACGGTACTTTGACCCAGCACGTATCAGCTCGCTACGCATCGCTGTAGATATACTAGTAAAAATAACCATTGTGGAAGGGTAGCTGTTAATGACAGCTAGCCCATGGAATTGAAAGTTCTTCAATTTCTAGTGATCTTTAAGCTTTTCATCAGGAACAAGATGAATTTGGAATTTTAGCCCGATTGAATATTAATATCAATATATAGATAATAATTCGACCCAATTACTCAGCCACGCGAGCTATCAGTATGCAAAAGCCACGCAATAAATCCCCGCAAAATCTTCATATTGTAATCCCCAATGAAAAAACTAATAACGACATTAAAGAAGCAAACAATGGGTAAAGGAGGCGTCGATTGTCGCGCATTACTAGCCCATGAAAATGAAATTCATAAGCGTTTTATTACCCGTAGTTATGGGCGACCAGGACACACTTATAACCTGGCTTGAAGGCGTAGTGCTGCAGGACAGCCTCGAAGTCCTTGAGGAGTCTGTCGAAATGATAATCCACGGAGCGCGTTGGTGCTGAACTCATGCCGTGACCCAGCATTTCAGGTGCTATGCACGGATACCCCATTTGTGTAAAATACGCAAGCTGGGGTTCAAACACATCAGCGGATGATCCAAATCCATGAATGAAAACTATAATGGGCTTTCGATGTCGACGAAACATCACGGAGTTGTTATCCGGATGTTCAAGCACCGGTGGAGATTGTAGGCGTCTCTTCATCGTAGTCCTGTGATCGCGCATTTCGACGGGCTCTTGCTCCGATTTTTTACCACTCGATGGGCTCTTGGAATCGCGATTTTTGCACGAATTGCTGATCTTCGAGGTGAACTTCTCACAGAAAACAGCAACTGCATTCTGTTTCTTCGCTGGATCCTCTTTAAGAGTGGAAGCTCTCGAGTCTTTGAGTTCCAACCTACAGTCGTCAAATTTCATGTCGATTATTGGATCATCTAGACTTTCGAGGATCACAGATTTATCGCTCTCCCCATCCACCGACGAAAGTGCTCCCCCCATTCTAATATTGATGTTTGGGAGTTTCGAGTTGTTTTCCTGGCGTTCCTCCTCATTTTCACCGACACCATCGGTATCCTCATTCTCCTGGCTTTTTCCCAGAGGCCCTGGCCCAAACTTGGCGTCAATGATTTCCATCAGCGATTGTTCCAGGCTGAGTTCCGGTTCCGGTTGAAACTCCACTGTTTCAACACTGTTAATCCCAGAATCTACGCAATCTAGTTTCGCAAGATCCTCGTCAATAGGTTTTCTCAGATCGAAATCAAGACAGTCAGGATCGTTGACGGTTCCAACGAAAGATTCATTGACATACCCACGGGTCTCCACGTTACTATATACTGATAACTCCTGGGGCAAATCACTGGGAAAAGCAAAGCTAATATCCAGCGGTTTCTTCGAATTGGTGTCTTCATCTCCCTCCAGCACTTTTCTACTCTTTCTCAAGGTGTCATCCGCACAATTGATAAACTTCATGGAGTCATTGAGAACCTCCTCCAGGAGAACATCGATGTACTTCTCCAGATCCTTGACAATTTTATTTTTTATGGCCAGGTCATCGGCGTTACGATTGCCCGTTACAGGTCCAACATTAGCTATTTCCGCCAGTTTCAGATCCACCTGACTCCTCGGCTCTGTTGTTATCGGCGAACTGAGACTGCTCAAGTTCATTGATATCCTCTTCTCAATCTCATCGATATTATAACCTTTCTTTTCCGCCTCGCAGAGACTCGTTCTGATTCGATTGATCTCTGCTGTAATCATGCACTCCTCATTTGTACTGAACCGCGATGATTGACGGAAGGAGCACCTACAGTTGCCCGATGAATGCGGTCGCTTTGTCCATCGTGAAATGAAATTCTCATGAATGGATTCAGGTCGCTCGCAGGGTAATTCGTAAAATCCACTGGTCTTTGGAGTTGGACGTAATACACGAAGTGTACGTCGCGTTTCAACAATGAAAAAATCACACTCTGGTAACTCCACTCTTCCTGGTCCAATTCTATTTCGATTTCTCAGGTACTCGAATACTTTGAAACAGCAAGGTGAGCTCAGCTGTTCTCCCCCCTCATTAGTCTCAGTCTCCATCCTCGAATCGATAATCTGCAGAGTGGGCTAAATCATTCGTTAAAAATTCTGGTACCTGTGTTCTTTTACTCGGCACATCTTCCCAACATTTTCTTCTCTCCTAACTGGAGCGTATCAGTTTTCCCATTGAATACACGAGTACATGAGATAATAAAACTCCCCGGGGCCTGCCTACATCAGATTTCACCAGGTATCACCAGGTAATTCACTCGTGATAAAACTAGTTCTCCCAGTGAATTGCTGTGGCAATCCTCCGATCTGTTGAATAATACCCCGAAAAAAATCCTTCAGCTCTGGAGGGAGACACTGCCAGGTGAAAAAAAAAAGTAAAAAATGAAAGTAGCACCGCTACGGTTGGACTCCTCGTGTTCACGCTAGGCGGAATGCGCCGGTTAGATCAATTGACGAATATCTCAGGGGCACTTGAGTCAACGACGTAGGAGCATCGACTTAATGAGACAACAAATACGGACTGATTGATGCTCCCGGTGATTCACTCGTTATCACAATTATCCTCAATTGAATTTACTGAACGTTACGCACGATTGGCGCAGTATTACAAATATTATTGGCTTTCTGTGGAAACTGACAAATCGAGGCGGACAGAGGACAGATCATGCTGCTATGGAAACAACACCTCACCAATCAGCCTCTAAAACCACTTGTTGCCTATTCAGAGGTTCTCAAACAATTTCTTACATTTGAAAATCACTGATGAATCATTACAGACCGTGACAACTGCGAACAATAAGTCAATCACGTCATCGGCGATTGGTAGGATGACAGTATTCACCGATATTCCGTAGCAATTGTCAATTTATCTTGCTTCTTAACTTGTTGGTATTTAAAATGTGTTGAAGACAACAACCCGACCAGTGGCGAACAAACGCAACACTCAAACTGGCGACTGTACAATCCCGCTCACCAACCACCAGCGCTCACAACTCTTCATATATATCGTGTCTCTTTCTCACCGGAAATATAAGACTTGACTGTTAAATTTTTAACCACCAGACCACGCCGCACTGATCAACTGCCAATACTCGATCCACGTTACACCGATGAGCATTTTAGCTGTACGTAACACACGTGAAAAATTGTAAGAGTTTTGACACATTGGTGTACGGATCACGGCGGCCATTTATAACGTCATGACTCGCACTAGGGCTTTCTGGAGAAAACAGTCTAAGTCCTCTTCGTGATCTGCCGAACGTGCCACACCGAAGTCACTTCGTGCCCATGGGGCACCGTTACTCTTTCAACTGAGAATCCAACCGGCCATCCACATTTTCAGCCTCCCCTCCTTCTTCTCTTTTATCAGGATTTCTTCTTTTTTTTTTGCCTTTTTTGTTCATAAGGTACTTCCTGGCGACTCTTCGGGGACCGCCCTGGTGGTACGACTTATGCCCGGGAGAACATCCTCTTCCGTGTACTTAGAAACACATTTTGCTTGGTTTTTTTTTTATCTCGTAAATAACATCTTCACTCGATCCCATTGGGAGGCGGTGAAAGGAGTTACGAGTGTTCGGTTGAGAATTTTTTGAGGAATTTTTCTTTTTTACGCAATAGACTAATTGATTACTTTTATTCTTCCTTTTAAATAATCTTATATCACTACTAATTACTGATGACATAATTACTATGACGTGTGTGGAAATTACATTTTAAAGTAGAATATGTAACAGTGAAAAATTAAATAAATATTCTGAAAAATTGTCTGAGCACAATAAATTATACATTTGTATTATAAATGCACGCATCGTTCGTTGATGACACACTAACGGATGACATATTTATACGTCTCGAATAATTATAATTTACGTGATAAAATTTAATTTCCCTCCAAAAACTGAGGCACACCCTATTCAATTGTCCCACTTAAACGTTACCTGTCACTGAGTAAACAGCGGGTCGTAATTTAATTATATAAATGTGTCATTACTCATTGCGTCGTTGTTATGATGATGAACAAGTGTTTGCACGAAGGGTGATATTTTATATCTACGCCCCAGGAAGTCTTCTGCAAGTACACTCTATCCCGTAGTCTCTCTAGACACACAAAAAGATGACTCAACGATTATAACGAGAGATAATTTAAACTTCGTGTACAAGGTGCCTTTTGTGTACACAGTGCACATCCTTGTTTCATCCCTGATGTATTTAGTTCGTGCATTTTACATTTGCACATCAAACAGTGTAGCAAAAATGTTGACTCTTTTATCATGACAGTTTCAACAAACCGTTTTATAATGACGACAATCGATTTAAACGGCTTCAGTAATATTTCACTCGTATCTTCATTCCTCGTCTAGACGTATCTCAAAATCGCCCTGGAATGTCGTTCTCGCTATTGATCATTTGTTGATGGAAAATTCTCCATTGAATTTCCAATGGAAGGTCTTACGCATAGTCACAGCGAGTTAATTTATATACGGCTTCTATCGAGTTTGTTGCTGAGGAATGAATAATGGTAATTTAGCGAATTCAAGTCGATTACTAGAATTGCTTTTTATTACAAATTCACTTCAATTTGATTTTTCAAATTTTTATTAGTAATATAGAGACGGAATTGGAAATTAGAGATTAAAATTTTTCCTGGGATTTTCCTAGGATTTTCCTGGGGGGGAGACTAGTATTTTCTTCAACGTCTCTAGTTCACTTTCGTAAAAGAAATCTTCACCTCCCGTTGCTATAAACTCAATCACTTCCATTAACGAAATCATCGCATCATCTGATGAAATCACAGAGAAATTTTTTCCATTTTCCATACGATGTGACATGAATATTCAATGCTCCATGGAGATCACGGTCGATTTATCAGTCCAAATTCTCTACTCCTTTCACTTTTCAGAAAAAACCATAAATTTAAATACCAATTTCATTTGAAACTTACTCCAAGCCTCATTCGTTCTCATAAGAGAAATTTGTAGAAACTCTCAATAATTACATAAAATAAAAACGACATAAGCTACGAAGAATGGAGACATCAAGAAAGGCATTCAGTTTGCCCGATAAGAAGTGCAAATTTGTTGACCTGGCGAGGGTAAACCCCAGCGGAAAATGGCAAAAAAAAAAATTACGCAAAGTAAAAGTAAAAAATGTTACGTACTAAAATATTAGCCAAGTGCATCGCCCCATATCCCATGGGTAAATAGTGTCTAGGGTAGGGTCATTTACACCGGCTAAGATCCCCGGGGGAACGACATTATAAAGTCTCTTGCTCGCATGCACGTACGTACTTGTACGAAGATGAAGTTGAGTGCAGTTGGTATTGCGATTATTCTATTCATCGTTACAATTAATGACGCAGCATTGGCGAATAACAACATTGATCATGAATCAAGTGGCAAAAATCATACTCCAGAAGAGCACACCATTCTGCTCGAGTGCCAGCACTCGGATTATCGGACTTATATTAAATGCCTGAAGAGGCACAAACGCCACCACGAGCATCATGATTCATCAGGTACCGTGAAATATCATCGATTGGTCATTCAAATGATAAAAATACCTTGGCGCCATCGATTCCCCCTCTCCCATCCCATTCGCTTCGACGGATAAAGTAGATTTCTCCCGTATATTTTTAAAATTATACTTTCGCACGGTCTTCTGTAATAACTTCAATGAAAAAACGATAAACAAAAGGATTAACATGATAATTATAATTAATCTAGGGAAATAAGCGTAATGAAGCTTTTGCTAATTTACTGGCAATGATAACTTCAATTATTTATTAAAAAAGCTCAATTATCCGCTGGTTTTAATTTTTACATTTTAGGTGGAAGTCGGAGTTGTTTCGATGAGTGTGGACTTGACCTCTGCACTAGCACTCAATGTGTGAATCAATGTCACACAAAATGTATGAAGAAAACCAAGGAAACACGCCAATTAATTACAACTTACGAAACTGTCTGCAACGATAACGACTGCAGCTCAACGGGGGAGTCGCATTCCTCGAGGGCTCCAAATATTACCACTAATATTGACATTAATAATATTATTCATAATCATGTGAACACCACAGGACCTGAGGGCCCGATTCGCCCAGCGGTTGTCACCGGAGGGGGTGACGGGGTCCCAGGTTGGTATAAGAGTTTGCTAGTGTTAATTGAGACGTAAATCATATGCAATTAGTATTATTTACCGGTACTCGGTTACTCCAGGGACGCCAGGAAATCCAGGAACATCCGGATGTAGTGGTACTCCAGGATGTGTTCCAGGAACGCCTGTAGGACCAGGAGTACCTGCAGTACATGGTGGTGGCTGTCAGGGGGGTTACGGATACGGTTGCTTCCCCCCGATTTCAGTCGTTTCAACTGTGACATTTGGAGTGGGTCTTGGACCCATCGGCGGATGCATAAATTCCCAGACCTGGCCTTGCATACAACAGACGCAAGTAATTAATTAATTAAATGTTGCGAAGCAGTTCTTGGATAAGTCCCATTGTCTAACAAATAGCAAACAAGCGGCTTCTGCCAGATACATGCAGTCAATTAATCGATCTCACTGAATGACGAAATAGTATAATACTCAAACACCATCGATTTAGCTTAAGGTGGTTGTCGCGCGACAGTCTCTGTAAAAAGTTTATCCGCTGTAAAACGGGCCAGTTTAGAACACAATCTTTCAGCGGTATATAGTCTCACTTGATTGATTGCATTGTGCATGGATAGCTAAAGCATAACTATATATTTTCCATATTAACTATTTTCAATTATATAAATTTATGAATTTCCGATAATTATATTCCGTAAACCAAATGGTCAATCGATTTGATTTTTTTTTCTGTATTTCCTCCCACGATGTATATTCCACGTTTTTTTTTATTTCTGAAACTGTCGAGCCGTTGATTTTTAAAAAATTCTAATCGGCAAAACTCTATTTAAACACGTGTTAAATCACTCGAATTTCAAAAATTTATATCTCAAGTTCAAAACGGTCAATTGCAAACGGAAAAGGCTCATTTTGTTGCTAATTTTTCAAACTATTCACCATAAAATTGTTAACGAAAACTGTCGAAAAAAAATTCTACGCGACAACAACCTTAATCACTAGCTCTTCATAATTCGAACGGTGAATGTTCCATTCTACTTCAACCCCATTCATGCCAATTCCAAGAATTATATAATTGTAATTAAACAATAATTGGCGGAAATTATTGAGAAATCCAAACGAACAGGATCGCTTATGCTATTAGAACGATAAAAATAGTTCAATTTAAATATTTTCATTCGCTAAGTATGTGGTATTACCTTAAATAATTTCTTGGGAGGATCACCTATCCCACGATTATTGAAATGCTGTGGTAGCCTCATGACGAAATTCTCGTTCCATTCACCTTCAGTTTTAATGACTTACCTACTGAAACAAATAATATTTCCAACTGTTACTCACTGATGTTCTTCTTTTTGTTCAGCCAACGGCATTCGATTGCTCGCTCTGCACGAATCCCTGGTACAAGTATCAGTGCGAGGTGAAATGCTACAATGTTCAATTACCAGGATCGCAAGGGTCAAACCCCCATTATCGTCCTGCCAATATTTAACTAATTTTTTATATGCTGGAAAAAATGTATGATGCAACATTGGTATCTATTCACGATTGTGGTCACCAATAATAACATTAAAAAAAAAATTATGATCTCTCATTATTCTTATTGGACTTTAATAGGAAGCCAGGTTAATAAATTAATACACGTTTAAGTAAGAGCAATTGAGCGATTGAGCAATTTTACTAAGATGTCTTCACACTTTGAGAGCAGTCGCTGAACTGCCAAACGATGTCGAAGTCACAAAAACCAAAGCATCGGCATCATGATTTCTTTCTTTCCATGCTCAGAGATTTGTTTATATTATTTAATAAACATTCATTAGAGTTTCGTCGTAAGACCACACAGACGGCCTCTCCAAGAAATAATTACCTCATACTATAATAAATATAAATTATATAGGTCTGTAATATGATCATGTTGTTTTTGCTCTTTTCAATAATCCCATTTTCATTACTTTCCTTTATATTTTTTCAACTCACATTTCACCTCTCAATTTTTGTACTTTGTCTTTTTTCATACTATTGGAAATGGGATAGTTAAATTAATTTAAAACACAGTTAATAAACTCTAATCACTTTTCTTTATTAAAACGCACGAGGAAGAATAACGTCTGAACTCTATCAATATCTTCATGAGACTAAAGACTAGCCACAAAGACCATAAGAACATTCGTCACCAAAGAAAGAACTCATCAATGGTTTCTTGTGAAACCATTGTTTAGGTTTATACTAACTCTGAGGCGACTCCGTCGAGTCCTCCATATCGATTCATTTTTGTAATTAACATAAATCAGTTCAATATATTTCTATTAATATTTAACTTATATTCTAACACATACCAACACACATTACCAATATTTTTAATTTTATTTGTTCATTTAAGTTCATTAATAAGTTAAGGAAATAGTATTATGGGGTGAGTTGGTCAATGGAAAGTCCTGTAGATCCATTAGATATTCATGATAATGTATGAGCAGGGGCCACTGTTGTAAGTAGGAACCACACATTTTGTCAGTTTTTTCACTCCTTTTTTTGCAATATCAATTTGCAATATTGTTTCACGCCCAACGTACCTGGGAACCCCTGCAGAGATGTTCCTGTAATGTCAGGTGCTTGGGACAGGTGCTTCACGTGCGCATTTGAGGACGGTTGTAACGATATATTTGCTATTCAATAATAATGACGTTAATAATGACGGTAAATAATAGAAATTTCCGGGTAGGTTAACAGTAATTGTGAGCGATTCAATCGTGGGAGGTTGAAGAGTCATCATTTTTATTGACGAATATGTATTCTAATCCATTCTTAATTTTAGATTAAAAAGGGATTGGAATTCAAACAGATGGCATTTCAGGGAAAGAGGTGAACAATCGCAGGATTTCCCAAAATATCTATTTGTTCTCCAGATGATATCGATAACGATATGCGCTATGAGCTATTGTTACGAGCCCCAGAATGTCAGTGCGTCCAATGGTGATGGGATAACGGAAAAAGGAAATGATAAAACAATGCATTCATGTGCCAAGCCATTCTCCTCATATTATTTCCATTAAATTATCAATAATTCATTTCCCCCTTCGAGACCCATATAATCAATCGTAATTTACGACATTCCTATCAAATTCAAATTACCACAAAACCTACTCACTTTTGAATCTAAATTTTTCACAACATTCCACGCTGTATCCCTGGAACTGCAGCAGAGATAATTGACAAATAGTAAAAAAAATGTGGAGACCACCCCCTCAATTCCCAGGTGCACATCAACCGTCGCTGCACAGGTGCGTACTTTTTCGTAAAATCGAATATGTAAAGTGAGAAGACACCTCTGAAAAAATATCATAGTCAGTTAACCTGATGATTTCGCAATGCCTAATGGATAAGCTTGTTGTTGGATAATAAGCGAAAGTGATCGAGTAGTGTAGCATCTCGGCGTGGGAATGCCAGCGTCGTTTCGCCTAGTCGATGAATCTGCAAAAACATTGATATAGTAGGCACGTGTGCCTACTAAATGGCACGTAACTTTTTAGTTACTCCTTCCAGTATTTGATATCTAAGTATATTGAGGCCTCGCGGCAGATTAAAAAGACTGTTTATCCGTTATCGACATATGTTTTAACCATCTCTAAAAAATGAACCGAGCAATCGAATGTGATTGTTCTGGTGTTTCCTCGAGAGCCAAGTCAGGTAGATAAACCGTGGAAAATTCCCCCAAATTTTAATCACAAACTTATCTTAATTGTCCATTATATGAGCATTAGGTCTAGTGTATCATTAACGAGAATTATTGAGAACTATTTCCACCATTGAGTTGTGGATATTAGACAGTTCGTTAATACCAAGGTAACATTTGGACTGGGGCTCATATACCGGAAGACAATTTTCTGGGGACCTCCCAGGGCCCTTCTGTACTTGTGCCCCATGAGTGAACATTTTCTTACGTTACACCGCGTTTTAACGTTGTAATGGGAGGCCCCCACTGGCGACCATTTGCTATCACATCAACTCATAATTGCGTACGTCTTATTGGAGAGCCCTTGAGAGTGCAAACGCACTGGACATTAAATTTTTCCGCTTCGGTGAATGAATATGGAAGTTGGGGTCTGTTTTTAGCACTTGAGAGGTGAATTCAATATAGCATGTGGCATTCGTACGTCTTTGGAAAAATCCTCTCGGGTGGAGGTCCTAATTTACAGCGACACATGTCTCGCCCTTGCGGCTCGAATAGTTCGAGGGAGTTTTTACGTATGTCCGGGGGGCAAATGTGAAGAGTAATGTGGGAAGAGGCCCCAATAGCCACAGAAACGAGGAATTGTTTTGTTGGGACTTGAGGAGTGTTGGGGTACGAAGAAAACACTTTGAACGAGTTTTGCATGAGTGACTTTTGATGCCTCCCGTCGGTTTTTCGAATCACTCGGCTGTGAAGCCATTCGACAAATTGGTACGTTCGGAGTAACGAGTAGTCAATAATGGGTTGAGTTCAACGTATGTAAATGCAGGAGAGGAAGTGAAAATGTTGAATTTTTGAGCTATTCATTCTTTCGACTTACTCGTATAGAAATTCAACGGCAATGTGACTTGTTCCTCGCTCTCTTACCCCACGTGGTTATGACTATCGTCTTCTCCACATTATATAATTTGTATCCATTATGTGTGGAATATCTTATCGACCGCGGTTTTTCTGAACTTTTCCAAGAGGTTTCGTTTTATTTTGTTGGGAAATTTACTGGAACTTTCGAGATGAAGTGTGAGAGCTGCATTAAGAAATCTCGTGAAACAAAAATTTCAAACAAAATTATTAAAACCGGTATGTTTCGCTCCAGTACCTCTTTGATACTGTAGAAATATGTTAGATCGTGTTAGAAATCGTTATTTGTACCCTCTGCACTGCAACGAGCTGCTTTATGATCAATTTAGGGTATTTCCCCTACTCTCGCGATTGTATCAGTTACAACCCCCGATTTTATCGAGATTCGGGGAACAGCTTGTTTGTTTATAATATTTTGAATGGGATTTTGTCACGTGACAGTTCAAACTACATGATTTCCCGTATAATTAATTCGTCTCGTCTGATAATTTAGGTTAATTAGGGAAACTCCCAAGAGGTCCTCTCTGTTATTTATTAAATCATTCCCATGAAAAGGTCACTGACCGCCTTGCCCGGTCTGAAGAAACTCGTTCTCAAAATAAAATACAATATTTTTATTAATTTTCCCTTTCTATTGAAAGTACTCCAACTCCCATGATTCATTTACACCGTCAGTTCGCATTTGATACGGTTTTCAAATATCAGATTCGCCATGCTCGCCGGATATTTAGGATCTGATGATTTCCAGGCCGATATTATCCCCTCAAAATATCAATTGGAAATTAATCAAGTGTTTTTATTTATTCAATATTTATTTTTGCGATCATGTCTTTTTCTGGCAGAACTGAGCGATTGTTTTTTCACCGTCTCGACGAGTTTGCTAGACTTCCTTCAGGTCAACGAGACGTCGTCTAGAGTCTAGACCTAGTGGAGTTCTGCTAATGTCGTCATATAACGAGACGTCGCGTCACTCAAAACTCAGTGAAATACTTGAGCGGACACTGGAGTATCTCCAGCGAGTCATTCAGTTATCGATTGAAGACCCAAAGTCCACCCTTAAAACTGTACCAACTCCACCCCGTTAATCCTGAAAGCTCTTTACGGCTCCTCATTACGATAATGATTTCGCAAATTACTCATGACTCAGTTGCCCGTATTAGGGCATCGAGCAGGAGCCAGAATGTCATTTTGAAAAAATGTCAGAAGAAAATAATCCCAGACCATAGTCGTCGGGATTAATCTCGTTCAACCATCCCGCCACGTTTTTTTTTCTCTCATTTTCATCGAGTTAAATATCCCCCCCCACAAAGAAGGCCAATCCATTTAATTAAACGAATCTCCCGACTTTCCTCATTCCCGTTTTGGTTTTCTCCTCGGTAACAACCTTCGCAGCATTACGAAATCCCCGGTACGTTCGCCAATTTGGATCGAGCTGAAATATTTGCGATCCACTAGATAAACTCTCGTGCTTGAGATTTATTTGATTGAATAAATTATCTCTCATGTGAGAATCCTCGACCCTAAAATCGGTAAAATCATTCTGGAGAGTCCACTACATCTTGCGTCTCTCCCCATATGAAGGACATGTCGATAAAAATCCGAAATATCCAATGTAATTATCCAATGTAATTATCCAATGTAATTATGCAATGGTAAATAAGGCTGAGATTTAATTCCAATAAATTACGCAGTAAATAAGGTTCCTCACCTAGCCAAAAATTATAATTAACCTCATCTGGTTAAACAATATATCTTGAGAACGGCTCTCTATTTCAGTACTTCGATGCAGTGCGTTGTCTGTTGATGAGTGCTCGTCCCTGCTAATTAATTAGTTCCCTCCAACAGTCATAAATGCGCAACTGCAAAAAATACGAAAGGGGGTGGCGGGTGATGCAGGGGCATGGGAGGGTTACAGAAGGGCACACGTCGTAGCGGTGAATTTTTAGAGGGGGTCTGCATTTACCCCACTGTCTCATCACCTGCTCATATGACAGTTATGACATTCGATAAGCCACTTTTTCCCTCTTCAATAATTAGCCTTTTATTAATCGTCGTAATGCTCACTGGGCAATTGCCCAATGTTGGCCAATTGTTGGCTAATTGAAGTGGCCGTTCTTTGTCTTGAATTTTTTTTTTCTCTTCTTCACACATTGGAGGTGAAGAAGAGAAATAAAGGATTTGGGGAGGATTTTATGGGGGACTTAACGGCGCCCCGTTGTAGGCGGAAATCCCCAAGAGCCCAACCTTTGGGATTATACACGTTCCCAACGTTTATGGGAAGAAAGCGCTTGTCGAAGAGAACCGAGAAATGCTTCGAAAGCTAGTGGTATACCTGAGATTTACACTGTGACCACTCGGATACATTCATGCGGAACAGTCTGCATTATTTATGGTACGTGAGCAACATTTCGCATGTGAGACTCTACAACATACTACTGAGAGGAAGAGGAGAAAAAAAAATATTACCATTTGAAAATAAAATTTGGGGATAGCTCTACCGAAGGGTGGGGCTAGGGGGCAATAGCCCTGGGGATTTTCCCCATTCGCTTTGTGTTTATTTTAATTGAAAATGAAAATCATTGGGTCTGAATAATGCATAATTTCCCATCGTATTTCCCATTGTATTTCCCAACGGAAAAATGAGGATTTAAGATTTTTTTGGGGGGTTAACGATAGTTATTGTGATCCTTGAAAAAATTCGTGACTGATAATTTTATATTACGGAAAAATCAGTTCCATGTGAGTTATGATTTTGATATTTTTAAACGGAAATGGGTGGATGCCAGTGCAATGCACCATCCTGCGAAGAAGGTGCAAGAGTATAATCGGTAGCAGGTCGTAGGCAGGACTATGGGCTCTTGCTGGGGAAGAATAAATTTAAATAAATTTTCAACTTGAGGACGTACATAGACGGCACAAACGGCATAAGTCAGTAAGTAAGCAGGTTACTTAAAATTTCGTGTCAATGAGGGGTAACAGGGTATAACCACCTGACCGTATTAATCCTGACGTATTAGCATGAATTTTTCCACTGGAAAAAAATAATCGGGTGTCAAAGCTGAATTCGCTTATTTATCTGGGATAATTTATTCAGTGCGGGAATAAAAGAGTCAGAATCAATGCCATCAACGGGCAACTAAAATATCGAGGGATTACCGCCATAAAAAATATTAGATCCGAGATTAGATATCCAAAACTAATATCTTCAGGGATTTTTTTTTTCACGATTGAAAAACAAAGTTATTGATGGATTGTTTACTGACAGTCTGTCGGGAATGGAAAAATTATGGCGGACGCGATAACGCCGGGATAAAATATTTCCCGTAATTGTGTAATAGATTGTAGTAATGATGAGCAATGACGTGAGCATAAATAAAAATAGTGGAATCCTCCAATTTATCATGACGACGCGGATATGTAGTGCACGCACGAGTAATCTCGACGGAAGAATTGGAGAAAAAAGGTTGGACGCGTAGGACGTTATGTATCCGTAGGATTTCTCAACCCGTCAAATGTTCATCTCGTCCTACACGTGCTCCATAGCGAGCAGTAACACTCCAGATTAGTGAAGGCAGATAACGATTATGACGGCATATATAATCGTTTTCCTTCTGTCGATTAAAATCAAATGCATGGGACGAGAAAAAAGAATGGGACAGAAAAACACAGCACTGCGGTCGTTCTGTAATTTTCTCTTGCACTATTATTTCTCGATGATTTTTATAGACGAAACTCCCCAATGACTCCTATATGCGAGTATGAAACTACACTCGAGATGGTTTTTGCGAGAGTCCAAGGCCTCGGGTTCTCTTCACGATGGGATGTGAATGAATCTAGAACCTGTTTTGTTGGCTTCCTCGAGTCTCTCCGGCATATTTTTCCTTCTCTTTTTACTGCCTCCTGGTACTCCTGCGAGTCAACTTGGCCATTTGCTTTTCTCTCTCTTTTCGCTGCTTTTTATTTTTACTTTTTCACTGAAACCGAAGGCACAGAACAGAACAAAGAACATCGTGCTCAGGAAAAAAAATCTTGTGAAATTACCAGTTTTCTCGGTTGCAACAGTTTGAGTGAATAGACCAAATTTTGAATTTGTTCGAGATCATGAAACATGACTGGGAATCCTTAAAAGTGGTTATTCAATTTTTTCTAGAGGTCGAACAACTTTTTGATTTTATGACAGTGCAATAATCCAAGCCAGCGAATTATTATCACCCCTCTGTACGTTTTTTTCTGATTTCTAAAAAAAATCCAACGATTCAATTGGATGAAATCGTAGGACAAATTCTATTATTATTAGGTGCCTCGAGCATATGGTTTGGATTAATGAGACTATTCTGGGTATATTTATTCAGTCCATGGCAAATGAACAGTAGTGAAGAAGCATTAAATCATCTTAAACGCTGAGAAATTTGTTTTGCACAGTAAATACACTTGAGACGATTGAATGTGTCAAATCTCAACATAAAAATCTGATTTGAATTTTTCTCTTAATCAAGTTTATTTAGCACTAGAAAAATCCATTGACAGAATTGACAGAAATATTTTTTTTCGAAACTCCTGCGAAATTTCACTGCTTGAAGAAACCGCGCGAAACATGCATATTACCCTCATGAAACGATATATGAATAAGAATGAAGAATTGACCATAAGTATTGAACCATTGTTACCAATTCAATAGAATTTTTATTTGCGTGTACAATGCAGAAATGCGTTACATAAACATCATCAAAACAGAAAAACAAAAACAAAGAGTACATTTAAGTAAAAGCACTTGCGCATTGATTGTATCTAATATTCAGAATTCATGATAAGCCGAAGAAAAGAATTTCATGAATTTTCCAAGTGATAAAAGCCCAAAGAGAAAATCTGATTCCAAATAAAAAATTGGATTGTAGCCGATGTAATTGGAAAATTCAGATAAAATAGTAATTGAGATTGCAATGAATATCTGCAAGTGCTGGAGTGTAATTGGCAAATAGGTACAGAGGGTACAGAGTGAAGGTGTACAAGGCGATAACCTTCAAGCTGGGAAGCTCTCTCTGTGGAGAGCCTCTTCGAGAATACCCTAGCCCCCACTACTTCAGCACGTGCAGCGCTATTGTCGGTTGGTGCTGCTGTCTGCTGCTGCGGTGCTATCGTCAGTGGCTCGATGTCTTCAACTGTTCAGTATTACATTTAGTATCGTGGCAGAAATGTCGGTGAACGGACGTTCAAAGTATTCGCCGTGAAGGATATTATTTTTCTCCAGTATCATACGCATCCCACTGCCAAGAATAAATCAGCACTACACTTATTACTTCTATTCCATTTTTTATGATATTCTATAATTAGTTATAATTGTTCATAATTGTTCGTAATTATCATCGTTATTCCGTGCAACCGGACAGAGTGTTGCAAATTGGAACAACGGATTATGCCTGGTGATTAGCGATTATCGCGAGGATTCAACGGTTCATCTGCGAGAAGGTGAGAGAATTGTCACGATTAAATTAACTATTGGATTAACTATTTTATTGGTTTTCCGGGATATCGTTGAATCGTTATTGGAATTGTTTGTCGCATTCGGATAATTGTAGAAACGAGAAACGAGGATCATTGTTGTATGGGCAAATGATATCTTCGTATCGGGTTCACCGGCATCAGTGTCGTCCATTTCGAAATTTTTATCGGTACTTTCTCGGTATCAGTATTCCACTTTTAGTTTCAAATTCATAACATTCTGAGGTCTTCGTTGTTCGCATGAACCCCCAGTCATTCGGGGAGACGCTATTTTTATACGAGTCTGTCTCGTCTTTTATCTTACCATGGAATTTTAATTTCTCGTTCTGCAGATTTTGCACTTCATTTGGATTTTTTTTTTACGTTATGAAGGGGACAAAAGCTGGGACCAGCAGATATTCATCGTGTTGTCTCGGAAATTCGGGGAAAGTTGTGATTTATTATTATTTTAGGATTTTGTATGCGAAGAATTGCGATTGTCGACTTTATTTGCTATGTGAATTTTCAAATATCCTATAAAACACTAGGTAACTGCATTGTGGGGCTTGCAACATGTTCTTGAAACGGTAACTGCACGATTCCCGTATTAATCCGTTATTCTTAATTTAGAGCGCACTTTAGATCCATTCAGCACTCATTATCCACGATATTACAATTCCCCTCATTATGCAAAGAGAAGAATAATCACAACACACTTTTCAATGAGTTTTATCGTGATCGCGTGAAATTTGAACATGAACCGTTGAAGATTCAGACAATGCGATCTGCAGGGATTATGATTGATGTTTTCCTCGGTGTGAATGTAGTCTGAGGCGAGTGCTGTTGTCTTCGTTGTTACCTGAATTTTATGGATTTATTGCTATAGCAGTTCCACTGTTACTGGGAGAGGTACCTAGGGCTGTCCAGGTCATTTCAGGATATTCTCTATGTTGGTGAAAATTCTTCACTGTCATTTCCACTGAATTTCTCTAAAATTTCATTATACTTGCTTGAAGGTGTCAAGACATTTTACAAATTAGTATTCATGGTTTCACTGAAGATTAAAAATCATTTGGGAAATTTTCAGTGAAACTCGAAATTTCGTTAATTGTGTTTCTTCAATATAATTGAATAAATCTGTCTCAAATGGCTATTCAATTGTCCATAGAATTTCATATTTTTTATAACAGTGACATTGTGTAGAACGTGTACAAGTCGATGTAGTAAATCCAAATTTTAATGGCCCCACTATTTATTTTTGTCACCTCATTTTCTGTTCAAGTTTAGTATAGAGCTGTCAAAGAATATGCTGCAATAAAAAGTACGCTTGGAATTTTTCTACTGAAATAACGGCGGCAATCTGCCTGGGATTATCAGAGATGTCTTTAAAGTTTAAAGTTTAAACTGGGAGAAAATCAGTAATGACGATGTATTGAGCATATGTAAACAGATTTGACCCCTCACAAAGTGAATACACGCTAAAGACTGAAAATATTCGAGTGCCAATGTTTACGAAGCGTTGAGAGGCCTACGCGGTTGTTTATTCCCTGACATTTTCCGTGTGGAGATAATTCAAAATAAATGGGAAATGAGGTAACCGATTTTTGGATGATTTTATTTCTTTCGCTTTAGGCCACGTTAACGCTCGAACAGCCAAATAAGACGAAAATTTCCTGACAATGTTGCTCAATGTTATTGTTTTTAATACGTTAATCGGGATTGCTCCTTTAATCCTAAATTTGATAAGAAAAACCACTTATCCGTACCCACCGCGCAAATCCTTTCGATTTTTTATTCCGGTTGCGGTGAAATATTCGCACTGGGTGAATATTATTATCTAGCTAAGGAATTACAACACGGGCACCTCACGATAAAAATATTTTCATATTTTTCATATCTCTCATTTTTTAATCATTCAAATACGACCGTTGTGAGGAAGCTCGTTTAACCGCATGCGTCCGCAGATTTATGCAAATTGATTACACAGTTATCATCAATTACGTTTAGACAAGTAACAGTTCATTGATTCACATGATTCTGCCTGGGATTGAAACAATTATTCAACTCCTGTTGAGAATAAATCAGAAAATTGAGGATTAATTCAATCTACTGAAAATGGAGTGAATCAATCGATTTCAACACAAGTGAGAGTTCATCAGTCAATGAACCCGTTCTCTCCACATTATTCTCCTCAATCTTGTGATGACCATCATCTCGTCTAGTCTAGTATTAAAAAACAAACCCCTTCACCTCCACACCTCATTGACAAATCCTCGCTTCCTCGTACTACATGTTTCCTAGTTTCTGGATTAAAGTCCATAGGAATCAAATGAAAAACTAGCAAACAAAAAACTATTCTCCAGAGATAAATCACGATAAACTCGATGTAACTATTGTAATCCTGCTATGTCGACGACAATGAGAATTTACCTGAGGAGGAACAATGCGCACCCTTTCGACGACGTCTACTTAATTATAATGAAAAGCCAAAAATGTTATTTGGGATGGAGAAAGAGAGGGACAAAGAGGCGTTGAAGGAGTAAAAGAGAGAGGGTGACCCCATTGTTCAGGGGGGAAGAACCACACCTGACCCCCCCCCCCCCCCCCCCCCCCCCCATCCTTTAGGGGTCGGCTTACCTGTTGGGGACCCTGGGAACCTCGGAACCTGCCGAAAAGGTCCTCCCAAAGCTCTTTGAAAAACAAACTGGGACAGCTGTCGATTTTGCGTCGATTTTTTCACTCGGGGTTTCTCTCCCACGCTTCGGAGCTTTTCTCGGATTTACCTGGCGCTTGTAACCCACAGCCTCTACTTTGTGTAGGTAGACTAGGATGGAAAAACCGGAATGAAAAGAAAACGAATGAAAGACTATTTTTTATCATTATTATTATTTTTTAGCGGCCAGTTTTTTTTCCGCCCTCTCTTCTGGTCTGTGACGCGACCTTTTATGGAAATGCGTGTGCATTCGTAAATAGAGGGGCGATTCATTACGCAATTGTTACTCCCCTCAGGATACCTTAAAGGGAAAATAAACAGGGATAGGAGTAAGGTGAATGAAGGGGGAAATATTGTCTGAGTGTACCAAGTAGGACGGTTTGGATGAAAGTCCAGGGGCCGTGACAGAAGCAATTAGAGAACGGTAATACCATGAATTGTGGATAATTTATTCTCGAGTTCTTTGTTAATCGGGGCGTGCTTTGATTTCGTGCACTCGACCATTTGCTTGGGATGTTTTATGATACTATTCACTGGATTCTGACACGTAATTTTTACCCTTGAATTACTTCAGCATACGTTGGACGCTGGTTATGACATGTTTAATGGGAGAATTTCTTGATAGGGATTCGATGATATGCGTAGGTATGGATATTCCTTGGTCTAGTCAAATGATTTAGGAATTGCTGATGTTTTTCCGGTTTCACAGCGATTTCAGAAATATTTCGGAGAGCCTCATTTCATTCGTTTTTATTATTATCTCTGTAGAATTGTAGAATTTATAGTTATTATTTTTAACACTCGCCGTACTAATCTGAAATTCATACATACAATAATATTTTCTCTTTCTCCTGCAATCATCAGTGTTTATTTAGTAGAAACTGTAGGGTCGGATTGTTTTTCTCCTCAATTTCTCTTATTCCTAAAGCAACATTTTCACTCACCCCAAAAATACTCGCTTTCTGTCTCAAGTTGTATTCAAAAATAATTCGACCAAAATTTCAGATGAGTCTTCAGATGACGTGATTTTGATCAAATTTATGATGTTTTTGCTCCAGATAAATAATCCAGTATATTTCACTGCCCGAATGTCCAGACTCCTTCAATCGAAAGTTGCGATCGAATCGGTAGACAATTATAAATCCTCCGCATGAATGCTCCGACATCCGATGAACCTGATTATAGAAAGTAAAATTGCTCATGCCGCAAGCTGTCTCGAATGGGCATCTTGACACAAATTCAAGTGAGATCACCGTCGAGAAATTCGGCCCGCTAAATGAAAATTTATTACTCGAGAAAAAATGCGATAAATAAAAGGACACATCATCCAAGAGCGGATCAAAATAAAAAAGGGAGGCACTACGATTGAACGGTATGCCAGTACTCGTCACGCAACTGCCTAGTGTTCCATTACACTGAACTTAGGTACAAGAACACAGAAAATATACAAACCTGGACGGTTCCTCGACTTTTGTACATGAACGTAGTTATAGGATTACCGTGAATAAAACGAGATGAAAGAAAAAAATCGAGAAATTATAGTGAAGGGAACGGGGTGAAACCAATAGCGGGGAAATAACTGTAATGCATCTCCGTGGGCCATCAACTATGATCCTGGACCGTTACGGAATGTAATGGGCAAATACCCGGCATTTTGCAACAGTTCAAGTACAAGCAAACAGTGGACTCCCACCCACGATTAAAATAAATACGTTAATGATGACACTGGATTGGGCCCCGGAGTACGACGGAAATACAGCGTCAGACCGGAAGCAACGACTTCCTGTGATTCAGACAAGACGCATCCCGCAGCTTCTATTCTTGTATCTATCAATATGTCTCTAAAGTGTCGAAAAAGCCTTAAAAGCCTTCACGGTTGTCTCACGTTCTCGAGAATTTATAAATATCCACCGTTAAATTACCGGAAGAAGGTTTCGAATTGACGGTTGCCCTCTTGGGGGGGTTCTCATGCTCAAGTCCCCCTAAAAAAAATTGGTACGAAAGCATATTAATTTTGAACAACTCGAATTACTATATCCGGTTCGTGTGACTAGAGCGTGGAACGTGTGACAGTGTTGCACGCGAAGCTTCTGAACATAGTGAGGGGTTAAAAATCTTTAAGGAAGCCTTTGAGTACTTGAAGCGAGTAGGTGGATTGGGGGCATGTGCATGGAAACTATGTGCAGCCGAGGAGCGAGAACGTGCACGTGGGTTTATTATAATTTTTTTTTAGACGTTACTCACACACCCCGTTTTCTTTTCAAAAGCCAGACGTTGTGCCGGGTGGTATCTGTCTCGTGGTCGATCTAATTTCGATCGGTGTTTAGGGTCGTTACGGCCACTATTCAAAGTTTCATTCTAATTTTATTCAGTTGGGCCATTCGCGGGACATTTGGCGAGCGTGAGCCTCAGAATTAGAGAGAAATTGCAACCACATGAATGAGATGTTTTTTTAACGATTTTTCAGGATTACTGAGGGTGCGTTGTTGAAGACAAAGGGAGAAAATGATAGAAATGATTATTCTTGACGTCTTGATCCATTGGGTAATTCTTGCGGGTTGTAAAAGGAAAATATGGTCGGCCTGGGTTGAAGTTACGATTTCTAGGAGTGAAAGAGATCTAGTCCCTAGTGTGTTGCAGGAAGCATTGCTAAACGTGTGGAATGCCTAGAAAGTGATACGTCCAAGTATTTCACTAATATGTTTTTCGGATGTGTATCTCGATTTCATCCTTGCGCCAATCATCGCGTGGCAATCTCTCGATATAGTCAATTTTCATTATATAACGTCCAATTATCTCACAACCGAATGTATCGTTTGTAATTATAGTATTGCAGGTCTATAATATTGTATCAAGAGGATAACTGGACACGTTGGCTTTCTGTTTCAGACAAAATGCGTTTGTTCAAAAGACTTCCTAGCGATCCGTGTCCTCAGCTCGTTTCAGCTACTCCATTATCTCAGGATGAGGGTGTTACAAAAAGTTGCACGAATGAGGAAATGTCTACTCCGAAAAGTACTAGAAATGGCGAAGAAATGCCACCACCGAGTTCAGCAGTTTCAACGAGAAAAAGTACTTTTTACTTTATTTTATTATTTTTTCCTCTGTTTTTGTTCATAACGTTGATGAAGATTAAAAATCAAATTGCATATCAGAAGAAGCCTGTTCGCATGATTTATGGGGAAAGATCACAATTACTATAATTTTTTTGAATATCAATTTAGACATAGTTAATTGATCACTGTTTATTAAGTGCACGAGGCTAGAACGTAAGAAGCAATTTTGCGAGAAATGTGATGATTAACGGTGTTTTTTTTTTCTACAATTCTTTTCGAACAGGCATCGCAACGTGGGGAAGAAAAGTAGGACGTAGATGGGATCAGTTGAAGAGATCAGAGAGCTCTGAGATACTCGATCTGTCGGGTAGGAGACGTCGATGGAGTCCCAATAGACGAAGTGTTTGCGAGACGACCGAACAAGAAACGGTAATTTTTTTCAGATTACTCGTGGACAGGCATAGCCAAATCAAACAAATATCGAAATGAGAAAAAAAAGCTTGCATCTAGCCCAGTTCCGTCGAACTTTTTCCCCCAGCCTCATATTTGCCTCATTTTTATCTGACTTATATTACCAAAAAATGAGTATTATTGAGTAACCCTGACTCTCATGGGATTTCTATGGATGTCTATTCATGATTTGAACTTATCTTGAAAATGTTTGCATTAAAAAAAAATGAAGGATAAATGACGTGTTGATCGTTTCAGAGCCCAAAAGATTCGAAACCAAAGAGGATATCACGAGTGGAATCCCTGAGAAATTTGTTTCGAGGGGGAGTCACTAATAATGAGGGGTCACCGAAGAGCGGGACGATACAAGAGGAAGACCCGGTGGCTTTGAACTTATACAAGATGGACAAAGCATTGAGTGAAGGAGCCTTGAGAACTGTTACACAATCGAGGGAACCGCAGAATCCTCGTACTTTAGCAGAAAAGAAGGATAAGCTAAATCAGGCTATTAACAATCTTCAAGAACAGCATAAAGTGCTGGATTATATTTTAAAGAATCAGGAGATTCTGAGAACTGAAAAAGGGAGCAACTTGGCACGTGAGACGCTTGAAAAAGTTCGCACACACAGGTACAATAGAAAAGAAATGATTGTCATTCAATCTGATATGACAGAAAAATTAATGTATTTTTTATTGATTTTCACTTGCACAGCCCATCCCACAGAGAAGAGCCTGTAAACCTCAGGCGAAATAAACCATCCAAGTCTCGTGATAGTCCTTTAGGCAGTAATGTAAAGAGAAATCTCTTCAGTGCAAGAACAAGCAGTGGTGAGAACGAACGGTGAGTGTCTGATTGTCTACACTAGTCTGACATTAACAGTCGTCATAATAGTTGATGGAAAAGTGGAAAAAAATACGTAGACAAAAACAAACTTATGAGAAATCCTCACTTGCACTTGAGATTTCACATGAGGCTTCTCACATTTATGAATCCTTTCATTAACACGACAATTATCTGTGATCACTGGAATCTTGAATGTGTCTTTGAATTTTTCAAAGTAAAATATCAGCGTTCAGAATCTAACAATCATTAAGAATAGTCAAATACTTCGAGTATGATAAATTATTATTCATCATCAATCAATTTTTCACAAAAAAAAAAAATGATTAGCTAAACTGTATTGAAAATACGAATGAACACTTTCATTGATGTAATAAATAGTCTATAATAATCTAGTTTCTAATGACATTCATGAAATTACAGGATAGAAAATCGAAAATCCTACACCGGATCAGCAATAGACGACTTAATGTGCAACCTGCGTCTAGGGTGTGACGAGAGTGGATATGATTCAGATAGTACCCGAGCAGGTGCTGACTCTCCAGACAGTGAGCAATCAGCCCCATCGATGCTGAAGCCACGCAGTTTCTCCATTACTTCAGAGGACTATCAAGGGATTGACCTCTCCCTGATGCCCATGGTGCCTCTCCCTCCAGTCCCTGTAAGCACTCCCACGAAAAACAGCCCAATAAAAAATTCTGAGAGTCCTGGGAACTTCATCCAGCCTCTCAACGATTCTCACAATCTCAACAATCTGGACAACACACTCAACTCATCCGTTCACACAGATGTAACATTGATGTCAGACGACGAAACCGACAGCTGCGACGACGAAGCGTTCGAGGCACTTCAGAATGGCTTGCGCATTCGTTTGAACCCTAGTCTCATGGAGTGCGACGTTAACTCATTCGAGGACAACTTCACGAGCATTCCCTCAATAATTCAGAACAACAACAATCCAGTGTCACCTCCCAGCACATACAAAACTCTTTCCAAGTGCAAAGTACCTTCGAAGCCCCAAATTTCAGAGGCTGACCGAGTCGCTCTGCTCAGTCGGTCGAGACTCCAGTCACCCCAGAGGCTCCCCAAGTGCCACTCAAGCATTAAAAATAGAAAACCCTCCAACGCGAGTGTCTTGAATCTCCTCGACAACGCAGCATCACCGAGCAAAGACAGTCCACCGGCTTCAAAAATTAAATCCACATCAATTAATCCAATTCCCTATTACAGTCCTAAACGTACCCGTTCGAAAATGGAGCCTGACTCGCCAGGTGATGTTACCACTAAGGTGAAACGTCCAGTGATAACTGCTAAGGCACCCATCTCATCGTCCTCAAAGCTTCTTATGAAAGTTGTGGTGGACAAGCCAGGAAATTTGGGCATTTCCGTGGATCGTCAGGGGGCGGTGAGGCCCACTTACATTATTTCAAAGTTGGATCCCAATGGAGGTGCTGCCAAATCTAAACAGATTCACGTTGGTGATGAAATTGTTCGCGTGTCTGGCCGTAGGGTTCGAGGTACGACAGCTTCTGAGGCCAGAACAGCCTTAAAAAGTTGTGTTGGTCCTGTGGAGCTGCAAATCGCCAGGGAGTCGAAGGAGTCGAGATTTTCCTTCGATGTGGACCTGGGAGACACCTGGGGGGACTCATTGGTACGTACGAGGAGTGATACTGAGATTTGGACACTCAGGGATTCATCCGAAGAGAAAAAGGACTCGATTAAGGATGCCCCTGGGACTGGGAGTGAGGCAACTACTTGCCAGGTCATTGGGGCTCTCACCAAGGATGGAAGGAGTCTCTCTAATGTTACCATGGATCGGTTGGAGAGCTGTACGCTGAATACTGAGATTCGGAATAAGACAGATAATAATGTCTCACGTAAAATGACTGGAATGAGGAAATTCCAAGTGACGAAGAAACGATATTCAACGCCTGTTTCATTGGGACGTCGGGCTACCAGCGGCTGCATTGATTTGTTAACTATCACTTTGGAGAAGGGGGCACCCAAGAAACTTGGCTTCTCCATCGTTGGTGGGGCTGACAGCACCAAGGGCAGAATGGGAATCTTTGTCAAGGACATTTTACCTGATGGACAAGCTGCTGAGGAAGGCACTCTTAAGGCTGGAGATGAAATTCTTGCGATCAATGGGATCCTGATGGAGGGACTTACTCATGCTGAAGCACTGCAAAAGTTCAAAGCTGCTAAGCAGGGGAAGATTATTCTACATGTGGGCAGGAAGGAAACCTCGCATAAACGGTTATTAGTTGGACATTAAAGTCGCATTAACACGTAGGTTACTTTCTGCCTCATTAACAATCTTTTGGGAATTTGCTGGGACTTTGGGTGTTGATCGGGTCATCAAGGGTCATTTATGGCTTTGAGATAATTACGGAATTTTGTGGGCATTGGAAACGCGTTACTCACTACCGTCAGCTGCTCTTCTTTTAGAAACTGATCGTCTCATGTAACTAATGCGCGGTTTATTGAGGAATGTTGATTAGCTTTTTTTTTATGATGTGTTCACAGAATGATGGGCCAGTCCAAATCCTACAACTGTTTGGACAAGTTGGTAGAGGGCAGAGAGAAATGACTAAGATCGAATATCATGGGAAAAATCTAGTTACCATTTCTTTTTTTTTTTTGTAAAGATTTTTCTTCTACTCATTTGTATTATGCGTTAGGAATAATTTCCTAGGAACGATCTTTTCTTCATTGAAGATGCGTGTATATACTTCCATTCATTTAATTTAGTTAAGGAGTGCGTGTTATGAGTTAGGATTAATTATTAAGAAAATTGTGATACTTGATTTAGATTTTTATGGAGGTGATTGAAATTCTCAATGTCCACGATTTTTTGTTGATTTGATAATGATGTAATGATGAGAATAAGGTTTCCGTACGTGGAATGAGTGAATGATTGGACTACTGAGAATTGATGATTGCTTACTATGAATTTGTAAAAATATTTGAATCTTTAAAAACGTCAAAGGTGAATTGACCTTTGATATACGCAAAGAAAAATATTCCGAAGGGCTTCCACCGTTTGGCCCAGAGTGGGCCCTCAAGTGAACAACTCAATTCTCATTAGCTGTAAATTATTATTCATCAAAAGTCAATCACTACTTTTCAACATTAACTTCAAGTTTATTCGACCTATCCCTGTTAGATACAATCCGCTAACACGTGGTATACGGTCCACATGACAGTCCACCTGTGGCTCATAATTAACATATATTTTTATGTTTTTTAAATGTAATTCATTTAATTTGAGCCACAAAGTGGAAAACATTTCCCAGGAACAGTTTTACGAAATTTTTGGACACTAATTGAGTACACATTTGGTTTACTCGCGATTCGGTTAGAACAGCGTAGAATTGAAGTACAGTTGTAACATTCCAGTAGCAAAAAGCTAAATCATATTAAGTCGGTTTGTTCTCATAAAGTTTTTACGAAATATTTCAGAATCAAACAGAGATAGTGAAAATAGCGTGAGGGCCTCTTTTGTAGATCTCAATGAGATTACCAAAAAAGGTCCTGACCAGAAATTCACTCTCCCTCTTAAATTCAGAGACATCTCGTAAAAACTTTTTCACCGACTAAATCCACTCGTTACCTTTTATCTCTTTGCTGCTGATTTATATGTCATTAGATTTTAAATGTAATGAGACTGACATTGAACAATGTCTACCTGAAATAATGCTGTGATACGGATTGTAGTCACATTAATCTAGATGTCGTATAAAACAATGTATATACAAATAAACAGGTCCTTTTGTTAATTATATCGTTGTATGATTTTTGATTATTAAATTTGTTACTATCTCTGGGATCAGCCTATTTGTGGTAGGTAGGTCCTCGGTGGAGGTGGTGCTGGGTATTGAGGACGTTGTTGACATACTCGACAATTGCTCGTGGGTTGTGTTTGTTGTGGTGGACAGCAGGGCTGTGGCTGAGGCGGTTGAACTGGAAGGTAAGTTCTCGGTGGTGGTGTTGGACGTGGGGGTGGAGGCGTTATTCGAGGACGGGGTGGTGGTGGTGGACGAGGTCGGGGAGGAGGTGGTGGTGGTGGTGGACGAGGCCGAGGAGGAGGTGGTGCTGGAGATTGACAGACGTAGCAGTTGCTGGTCGATGGTGTTTGTCCTGGGCGACAGCAACTCGGCGGCGGGGGTGGCGGTGGTGGAGGCGATGGAGGTGGAGGTGGCGCAGGAGGTCGAGGAGGTGGTGGTGGTGGAGGAGGCCTCGGTGTCGGTGCTGAAAAAGTTTTGGAGAACAACCTTTTAATTAATTGATTTTTCACTAGCCGCATTTTCACCAATAACTCATTACTCACCAAAGCGCGTCACGTTTTTTCACCCTCTCCACTAGGTTGAATGCTAAGTTCGAGGGGCAGAAGAAAATACGGCGGTTTAGGTGGATAGTGAATAATGAGTCCACGAGAGGTGAAAATCGGCACGTTTCCATTGCATTTGTTTTCATTGGTTTAGGTATTCAGAGCATTAGTTACACGTGCTACGCGACAGAGCATTTTCTGGGGGTATATGTTAGTGGGGCAGTGGAAATTTGAGATTAACATCAGAAGCGATTAAGTCGTAATTTAGTTTTTTGTACAATTTGCTACTTTTTTTTTAGGTGGTCGTGAAAATTATTACGGTTATCCTGGAAGTCCAGTTAGATGGATATTCCATGCTCCAGAAAAATAAAAATAAATAATATTAGCAAAGTTTAATATTTTCTGATATGTGGTAAATTAACTAATTTTCTAGTAACAACATATAGATTAATGAACTAGGTAGTTCGATTAAATTTATTGACCATTTTTTTTTATTCCCAGAGTCTCAACTTTAATTTTCCTCAGTGAATTTCTCATAACGAAAGTGAGACTTTCGAAAAAGGTACGAGATGTATTTTATCGTGAAGAGATAAAATTACTGTAATTCAGCGAATAATTTACTGTGCTACTAAGCATTTTCCTTTTCCTCAGTCACTGAGGCAGAACATGAATGTTAGAGATGAATGGATAGGCATTAGAGGATAGGAGTGAGATATGAAAATTATCAACGATATTTATGACCGAAATCGCTCATGAAGTCTCATTTAAATGTGGTTGCTATCATGATCTACATTGAGCAGTTAAATTAATGGATTACCAGGTGAATAGGGAGGTAGATACGTAGGCGCTGGGGTTGAAACACTCGGTGGTGGCGGTGGCAAATAACTGGGCGGCGGTGGAGGAGCAGGTGTTGCACACACCATGCAGTTTCCACCTAGAACATTAAAAAAAAAGTATATCCCATTGTTCCCATTATGTCTGGTCACTTTTCACTGATTTAATCATTTTAATTCTGATGATACCTGATGGCACTTGTCCAGGTTGACAGCAGGGTGGCGGTGTACAGAAGTAGCAATTGCTGTTTGCTGGTGTTTGTCCTGGTTGACAACAGGTCGGCGGGGGAGGAGGTGGAGGTGGAGGTGGAGGTGGTGGCGGTGGCG